CTCTCTCTCTCTCTCTCTCTCTCTCTCTCTCTCTCTCTCTCTCTCTCTCTCTCTCTCTCTCTCTCTCTGTCTCTCTCTCTCTCTCTCTCTCTGTGGGCATAAGTTAGCAAGAGTCGCGCGAGCTCGGGAGCCGTGGCGTGATACTTGCAAGGTCTCTCTCTCTCGGGGCATAAGTTAGCAAGAGTCGCGCGAGCTCGGGAGCCGTGGCGTGATACTTGCAAGGAAGGAATTGCGCGCACTTACTCAAACGGTCAACGGCCATGAGAATGCTGTCGTGCCCGAAGCGATCGTGGGTGAATGGGCGGGTGACATCCATAGCAATGGAGAGGCCGGGTTCCTGAGGGATAGGCAACGGGCACAACTCGCCATACGGGTTGCGGTTGTGGGGTTTGCTTCGTCGGCAAACTTCACAAGATTCGCAATACCGGGTGACATCGGTAACGAGATCGGGCCTCCGAATCGTTGTCGAAGTCTTGCGATCGTACGGTTGACTCCGAAGTGGCCGGCGAGTCGTGAGTCCTGGTACTCGCCGAGAAGGCGAGTCCGTAGTCGACAGTCTCATGGGACGCATCCTCTTCATTTGTGGTATGCAAGTTTGGATGTCGTGCTGCTTGAGCGAGCGCTGCCTGGGGGGAAGGAGGAGAGCTGGGCACTCTGCCTGGCTCTGGCGAGAAGCCCACCTTGAGGAGGAGGAAGAAGGAGGCAAAGGAGGAGAGTGTCGAGGTACCTACGTGGCTATGGTGGACACCATCTTCATCACCTTGTTAGGCGCTGCATCTGGAAGGACCCAGTTGGGGTAGTGCCGCACCAAGGAAGCTTCGAGGCAGAGTCAGGCATGGCGGCGTGAAGAGCAGCAGCCATAGCTGCTTTGTGTCGTCTTTTGCACAGGAGGGCAAAGCCCTTAGTAGTCCGCCATAGCCTAGGCCTGTGTGAGGAAGAAGAGGAGGGAGGCCATGGCTATGGTGGACCTGTTGATTAGCTGGCAGTAAGAGGGAACTTCGGATATTGATTCTGGTCTGACCACTCATTGTTATTATTATTATCGAGCAGAAGAATAAGATTGGCGGAGACAAGGAGGAGGAGGAGGGTGGAGAGAGAAGGGGGGATTTGTCATTGGTCTTGCTGGTGTACATCTTCTTCCTCTTCTTCTTTGGTCTCTATCTCTTTGCAAGTGAACTGGACTGATGCTCCCCAGAATAGAAAGGATCCAGGACTATAAGGTCCCGTTTTGCAGGGGGGGAAGGGAGGGGGCAGAAGAACAAACTGCACAGAAAACGGCAGAAAAGGACAGTTTCAGTGTACCTCATTCTGTCTGTTCTCTTTTTCTCTGTTTCCGAACAGTGCGCCCTTTTAGTCGATAGATATGTGGAAATCTGTATTGTGCAAAAGGGCTGCCTGTGAGCCAGAGCCAGAAAGGGAGGAATATGACTTGAACCCACAACCTACTAGTGCATCCTTTTTCCTTTCTTCTTAAGTGCTTGGACAAGTAGCCGATAGGCTATCTGCGACTGACTGTTTCTTCGGGCTTTCACTGGTTCATCAGGAGGATGAACCCATTAAGTCCCCTAACAGATGATATTGTGAGTGATAATGCACTTTAACCCCAGTTGCAGGTGGGCACCAACCACTGCCAAAGGCAGGCAGGCAGGTAGGGAGGGAGGTAGAGAGAGAAAGA